TCAAAATACTGGGGAATGCTGAAGGAATGGGGGCAAATAGGATAAACAGTGAGATTGCTTTACCTGAAAAGCAAGATAATATGGAAATTTATCCATTTTTATTGCCATAATTAGCCTGCAGAGTTACTTATTATGTTAGAATGATTTGTGTAAGCGGGAAACACTTTGTATATTGCCAACCAGACGGCTTGATATAATCTGAAAAACCAGCGGAAATTACTTATCCTTTTTTTTGATTATGGCCTGATTCCACACTGTATTTTTAGTACAAGGAGGGAATTTTCGACACATGATATCGGTAGTCCGAATTTTTCAGGCCGACCATAGATATCAGGTGTGTGTTGACAGGAAATCGAGCCACGGACAATTTTCATGGCCGGTGAGAGTCCTAACCGCTGTACCACCGACGCACAAAACCAAAGGGAACCACGTCTCAACTGATTTGGATTTTCTACTGAAAGGCCATTTTAGCAGTACATGGCAAATAATGAACAAAAACACAAAACTAGTAAGTGTAAAACTCTCCATATAAACAGTAATTCTTTAAACTGAACCTAACGCCTGTAGTCATTTCATTAAAAACTCAAGATATTCAATACAAGCTACAAGGTGGTCCGGTAGCTTTCCATTCTCAAATGCTATCTCCAAGTTTGGTGTGCATTGATGCCTCAGTTTTGACCGCGAAATAAAGTAGCTGCGTTACTTCAGTGAGGTAGGTTCACTTCAACTTTTTGCTTCAGTACATTTAATGCCTACTCTGCATTTTATATTCATGTATATAACCTCCAAAATAATCATGTTTAATTTTAAGTTGGCAAGCTTAAATAAAACACGTATGAGGTCAACTAATTTAGGTAATGAACAATAGTGTATTATAGCGCGGACATGCGGAAAATGTTACTAGTCTTTTAAGGCCTTCTACTATAAACTACCATGTCTTAAAGCAATAAAAGACAAAGAAAACTGTGGTGCAGTTCACACGTCCGTAAATGGATGGGCGGATATTTCATCTACACCAAAGAGAGTGCAAGTCGGCAAATTCCCCACAAGCCTTTATTACCCGATGCCTTAAATGTGTCACAAATCAAGCTATTAGAGCTGGTGCAACTTCTCAAATGGTTATAATGGCAACCGCCTCACTCCCTATCATCTAACGGAGTTGGTGAAGACTAGTCCTGCATCATCAATCTACATTTGTTAGGGGAAATTAGTATGCCTAACATACTAGAATTTTGACTGGTAGCTGCTAACTTGGCGTGATGGACAAGTGTGCACCAATGATCTATGCTGGCTGAAACGAATGTCCCGGCATGCCCTACAGTGTTAGAAATGTCTTTCGATTGGTGATTAGACTAAAAGCATATACCATCATGGTGTCGGGTGTTTGAGAGCAAAGTGGTACTGCTAGCGAAAACGGATGTTAAAGTTGTGAGTTTTTTCCTCAGAAGACCATCCAGTCAGGCATCTTGCCTCTCCGATCTGGGGAGGGAAGAGATTTTAAACAGTTCAACCCTGAAAATTGCATTTCCTAATTTACCCTGAGGCGTTCTACAGATACATTTCAAAACCACCTCAATCAGGCTGCATATGATCAGCCTCAAGAAGTTATCCCTTGGCCTACGTGATACAAAAAACTAGTAAGTAGTAATCCGCTACACTCTTCCATAAACACACAAAGCTTTCAGCAGCGTATTTCCTCGTTTTTCATGAGGCAAACACAAAGCCAACTTTTTCATATAACTTCCCGAATTCGAGATACAGTCAATCACTCAAAAGCTTTTCATTTTTCGCAATGGTTTATCTCAATGTGTTCGGCCCTGAAGAGATTCCATATCAGTGGTGCTCTAACAGTAACACATCTAATCAAGTGTGTGAAAGCCAACGTATAACGAATGAGTTCCCAGTAAATGAATGACTCTTTTCTGAGTTTTAGACCGTAAAAAGCATTGGTTTTCAATATCTCTTTGCGTGGTGTTGGCTAGTGGTAAAGCTTACGCTGGAATCGATTCTCAGTCTCACAATTTTTGATATGTTTAACGCAAACTGACAACATGAACTGCTCCAAACCCAGTATCCTAATATTTACCCGTTTATTGTTCAAAGTTATGAATATTATTGCATGTAGAGAATGGTGATCTTGAATCATACTTGCTTTAACACTAGTTGGTATGATAAACAGTGACTAATATCTTCTAGGCAAGTAACCTGAAGGTCGTCGGTTCTATTACCGCTGCGACTCAGGTCTTACGTCAGTCTGTCGAACTAACTTTACTTTACTTTACTTCGGCTATCTCCTACGGGAGGATGAGCCGGCTTCATGAACCATGAAGTTTCATGGGAATTGGATACGAGTGATGTCCCCAGCATCGCTCGGCCTTTTGTTTGAGAGTGCAGCTCTAGCCTTTACACAACCAAGTGTGACCTACAAGGCAGTAGGAGTGGAGTAGGGAGTCCACTATCCATTGGCAGCCGGTGACCGGAGTCCGGTTCATTCGCCTTTTTGAATGGGGCCAGTCATCCAGGGCATCCAATAAGCCCTTTGTCCATACGCCTGCCGGTGAGCTTCATACGCCAGTCGTTGGAGGTTTGGAATCAGGGTTTAGCCATCTCCCCTAGACTGTCATCCAATGGACAGTCAACCCGGTGAAGAGCGCCGGGCATCCGCTTTTGCCCTCTCACTTTGGTGAAGAACACCTCCGCCACGTGAAGGCAGTGAGTAGGACTTCCTCAGGAGAGGCTATGTAAGACGCCCGGTCATATGGGAGCATTTCAAGAGGTGTACGGAGGGGTGGCCAACCCGCAGCGCAAGACACCCACCCCCGACCATCCTGAGGCTTTGGAGGCCTAAGTGGCGACTTGAACTTCCGCACATTTGTGCAAAGTTCTATGTCGAAAACAGACAGACTGTCGAACTAAGACCATCTCAAGTATTCTCGAGAACAATTCAGACAGAGTTATGCACTACAGCCGTGTCCGAGTTTTGCTCTTGTATATGCATAGTATGCTAATGCCTTTATAAAACAGGATCTGACATTAGTTTAAACCGGAATCTGTTTTAGTAAGGATGTGAGAATAAGGAATTTCTTTGCACAAGTCGGAAAGTTTTAGAACTGAGGTCTCAAAGAAACTGCCTGTTACCATAGTGATTATGGGGCTAGATTACTGCAAGAAGTCCAAACGCAGGCGAAAAAGGTAGTTGTAGGCTTTTGAAAATAGTGAGAGGGGTGACATATGGAAATACGAAACGTTTATGAATTAATATACAGGATAATTGCATCTGGTTTTTCACTTTAATTGATCAATGTGCAACAACTAAATGGTATTCTGCACTCTAAAAAATGGCTGGAATAACTGTCAAGGGTTTTCTTTCCAACAAAGAGATGTGGCTTGTTAGTTTCGACTTTCAATTAGTGGGACACAATTTAAGATCGTGCCCTGTCTAAAAACTGAACAATTATGGCGCATACCCTGGTGCTTGAAAAATCTGTCCCATACATCTTAATCTATTGTAGGTTGACTAAATTCTTTTTGTTTACTTCTGCGGTCACTTTTCCTACATCTGCGTACTTGAACAACCGAAGTTTTGTGCTAACCTGAGTTGAGCCAGTCAGTCAATAATTTGTTAGGTTCCTGTATCTCACAGTGACTAACTGGTTTCAACAACTTTGAACAGGTTTGCAGCAGTTCGAATTGCCACTTTCCACGTACCAAACAAAACAAGAGAAGAGAATAACGAAAGATTCAAAAGAGAGATAATAGCCAGAAGTGTGAGGGGAAAGGAAGGGTAATAGGGAAGAAGAATAGACAGAGATCGATTTTTAGCCATATCATCAATTGTGTCCAGTCTTTAGTGGTTCTTACCATCCTGAGGACCCCAACCACAGGCTGATGGATGATCACTTGAAGAGTAGAGTTATATATCTCTTGTTGCCACGTATTAAATACGCAGTCATAGCTACGTCAACCTGAATTCGATAGCTACATGAATCATCTAAAATCAGCATCATTATTTCTGAGTCGTTCACTGGTGGAAAAGCTAACCATGGCAAACTTTTCCCATAAGAACACCTTCCATCAACGACAATTGGAAGTTGCCTTCACCTACTACTTTCCCTCCATAGACATAAGCTCCAGCAGCAGCAAAAATCTTCATTATTATTATTATTGTCATTATTAACTGACCGACTGAGTTTCAACATAGAACTTTGTGCAGAAGTGCAGCAATTCACCTTGTTGCACTCAGCGACTTCAAACAGGAAGTCCTTACCTTCTAAAATTAAGTATTATGGATTTCATTGACTGATTTCTAGTTTTGGTTTGACCACCATTAGCATTTTTCAAATGGGACTTAAGTCAGCTAACATTGACCGTTGAGATAGGCGCTGGCTAGTCATGCGCAACATATTTCCTATCAATCTCATTCGATGTAAGTCTACAACCTTGTCGATTGATTTTCCGTCCTTACCACCTAACACTCGACCAAAACCTAACCGTATCAATATTACTCACCCTATTATTATTACCACTTAGCGCGGCAGACACTTATGATCAAAGACAGCTTACCAGGCTTTTCATGTCTTCCACTCTCCATGGTCATGTCCGACTCACAAGTATAAAGGAGGACGGAGTGGACTGCTGAGCAGTACATACGTCGTTTGACCGATAGCCAGCTGGATATTGCGTCTACACCAGAGGTGGCATAAGTTGGTAAATGCCAAACGAGCCTTCTGTACACATGTTGCAATTTCATCAGAGATCAATCCACTGGGGTTGGTGAAAATTCCTTAATAAGTGAATTGGTGGTCAACATGCTTTACCACTTCACTTTTTCCCATCGTTAAGGTAGAAGTCGATGATGTATCTTATAACAAATTATTGACTTGAATGAGATTCCTCATATGAAAGTCTAATATACCAGCTTACTTTTCAGCTTAGAAAAAACAAAACAATCTGACTGAAAGTATTTGAATGTCTTTCCGGTGTTGGTTTGCTCAGTGAAGATGTCAGTGTTTCATGATGAAATAGAGATTGAAGATATGGAGTATGATGAAGAGTCAGAAACCTATTCTTATCCTTGTCCATGTGGTGATCGATTTTTAATTACAAAGGTTTGCTCTAATAAAACAAAACCTCAGTTTTTATTTATAATATATTTAGGAAGATTTATTATCCGGTGAGGATATTGCACGTTGTCCTAGTTGTTCGCTGTATATACGTGTCATCTACGATATGGTAAGTTTATATATTTATACATTTGCTTACTTTGAAACACACTTTTTTGTTCAGGAAAATATATCATCTACTATACAAGAATCATCAGTTGGAATTATGGTTTCGTGATCCACAATCATCAGTGATATTTTTATAATGTACCCATCAGCATGTAAACTGCTTTCTTGCCAACTATTGTAATTTCAAAACAATTATTTTCACAATAACAAAATATATTTTACTACCATGGTGTTCAATTATTTATTATTTTTAGACTGAGATATTAAAGGTGTTACGGTCATTTTAAGGAAAATATTCGAGTAATGAAAGCTGTTGATTTCTTCCAATGTCTATCTGTCCGTCTGTTTTCAACATAGAACTTTGCACTACGATATGTGCAGCAGTTCAAGTCGCCACACTCCGTCATTGTAGCACAGAAAGCGAGAGAAGAAATGCAAAATAGAGACTGTTGGCAGGGATATGAGACAAAAAGATTAGGGATAACAGAGAACAATATAGTTTCATTAGGTATTATAAGTCACAAGGAGTAGATGCATCTGCGCCAGCCATTGAGAGCAAGGATTTCGAGGCATATCACCAATTGTCTCCAGCCTTCATTGGTGATTACCGTCCCGAGGACCCCAACGAGTCAGGAAGTCTACACCTTCCTACGTGGTTTAAACTAACTGTTGTGGATTTCATTGATTGATGAAGCCATGTTTTGGTTTGAAGACCAGTGGCTCTTTTCCAATCTGACCTTATGTCAGTGAGATAACATTACTTATCGAGGCATTTGTTCCAATAGAATTAGATACTTCGTTTAATGTTCTATCTAAGGAAGTTAAGACGATTTGGTATCATCACTTAGCCTCTACTGTTACAGTTTGTTAATTCTTGTATTCTACCTGCCCCTTAATCTTTTCTGGGCTACCTGTAAAATACTTTAATACACTGTGAAGGGTATTGAAAACGGTCAGTAGGGTGGGTGGAGTGTCACCAGACCCACTATAGGAGATTCTATGTTCAGACAACTAAGCATAAAAAACTCTGCAGCACCGTGTTGGGCCGGGAAACATTTTATGTGATAAGAAAAGTGTGAGGCATAACACTACTGACTAACTTTGAAACACTAAGTAAACGGCCGTTTGTTTCTTTTCCAGTTTTTCTTAATTATTTGGTTAATATTCTTCACTTCAATCTAATTTTTATATTCAAAGTCTTATTTAACAATACCATTGATGTAAATGTCCTGTTTTAATTATAACCCTCTTGAAATAGGAATATTAAATGCAATATTGTACTGCTACATGCTGAAAATTCCATATATGTATTGAAAGTACTGTTTGGTGTAAATCTGTTATTTATTGATGACTCATATCGTAGATTAATATTCCCTATTTCTACCTACTACTCTAAACAATTAAGTACTGTCATTAAAATTCGCAAAATAAATAAGTTCAAAAGCTTGGAGTTACTTGTACTCAGTCTTTCGATCGTAGTAACCAATGATTGCAAATAAAGTCTTGAACAAAGTCTATAATATACCAGTCAGGAATGTAAAACGTGGACACAATACGTTTTACGAAATATGGTGAAATATATCTGATATTACGGTGATTGATTCCATAAAAGTTGTTCATAGGGAATAAAAAGACATTTGCAGCGAAGAAAATTGCCTTTTCGACGAGATCATCAACAAGACTGTACATTCGTGTATTCATAATAAATAGGTAGGGAAGTTCCAGAATAATTTCCGGTCAACGGTCAGATTATTAAAATTATAACTGGGAACTAAAATGCCATAATTAACAGGGGGTCGGATAAAGCTCAAACAAAGTAGCATCATAATTACTGAGAAGATTGACATATTGTGCAATTAGGGGTTAGAAATATAGAAATAACAAAAACAGAGAGGATGTTTGGATAAAAAAAATCCAGTGGGATCATAAATAATGTGACGAATAATTGTTTATGCAGTTAGGGATTAAATATGTAGAAATAGTAAAATGACAAAATAGACAGGAAGTTCTGATATGAAAATATGATAGTGTAAATAAGGATTGAGAAAAACTTAAAATAACATAAATAAACAGTAAGTTTGGATAAGAAAGGCAATATGATAGCCACTATAGCCGTAGCATGAGCCAACTTGCAAGAAGCGCTCGTGGACACTATCCAGCCTGACTAGTAAAAGGAGAACAAAAACAGGTATATAGTTCAGTGACAGAACATCTAGTCAATTCAGCGCCATTCGAAAAATCCTTCAAAGTAATATACAAGATTCGATCAAACTAAACAAAGGGGGTAAAATTAAGACATCTGGGCATAGCCGAGGCACTAGCTATCCAAAAGCTCAAACCCACGCCATGTATCTAAAAGAAATACGTCCAACCCCTGTCCCTGCCATGGCCACAATAACCAGGTAATTCTTTTGATAGTGACTATCCCACTGCCTTTCTTATCCAAACTTCCTGTTTGTTCATGTTATTTTAAGTTCTTCTCAATCCCTATTTACACTCATATTTTCATATCCGAACTTCATGTTTATTTTGTCATTTTATTATTTCTACATATTTAATCCCTGATTGCACGTTAATCTTCTCAGTAATTATGAGGCTACTTTGTCTGAGCTTTATCCGTCCTCCTGTTAATTATGCCATTTTAATTCCTAGTTGTAATTTTAATAATTTGTCTCTTGATCGGAAATTATTCTGGAACTTTCCCATCCATTTGATATAAATACACGGATGTACAGCCTAGTTGATGGTAGCAACAATTCACAGTGCACCGTGATGACGAGCCAATTAGTAGCATGGTGGCTACGTTGCATGAAATCGGTTTGCCGCTTCGACCAGTGTTGGACATTTGTAATTCCGCATATCACGCAACAGCAAAATGGCTAGTAAAGCTCCCAAAACCTCTGCATAATGAGTTGGTAAAACATAGCGTAAACGATAGTTTTGAATTTGTTAGAAAAATAAGAGATCTTGATGTAAGGGACAAGTTTATTGTATCTTTTGATGTATCCTACTTGTTCACCAATGTACCGTTAATGGAGACAGTGGATTTTATATGTGAGGAACTACACAAAACATAGACATAGGCATTTCTGTATCCACCTTGAAGGAACTTATTTTAAGATGTACAATCAATGTTCATCTCTTATTCAATAGGGAATATTACAGACAAATTGATGGTGTAGCTATCCCCATTAGGTTCAATCCAACTGATTTTTTCCTCGCTAAATTAGAGAATGGACCACTGAAAGGAGTAATTAATGACTTGGATTTCTACTGTCGATATATGTATGATAAATTTGTGGTAATGAAAGACGAGAATTATGCAGTGAACATCCTTGACAAGTTTAATGATGTACATTCAGCAATAAAGTTTACCAGAGAGAAAGAAAGTAATGACAGTATCTGATTTCTAGACGTCTTCATGGCAAGGAAAGAAGATGGCACACTACAACAGGTCACTACACTCATTTTTTGAGTTTTGTACCTTTGAAATATAAACGTAACCTGGTTAAGTGTCTGGTTCATAGAGCCAGGTTAATCTGCTCAGACGACTGCCTCAATGCACAGCTTAAGATTATTAGAGAATTACTTAGAAAAAAATGGTTATCCGGATAAATTCATTGAGAAAAATATGAATTCAGCACCTAGGAGAGTCAGTATAGCAACAGTTTCGAAAAAACCAATGTCCATAAAACTGCAGTTCCTCGGTGACAATATCAGCGAAATAATAACAGCGCCTGAAGAATGCAATTGAAAGAGCTTATTTTGCAGCAGAGGTACGTTGTCTCTTTACAACCATGCCTATTCTACGTTCGACAAATAGGGATAAACTACCTAGATTTGCCTCCTCCTCTATGTGTATCTACCAGTTTGACTGCAGCTGCGGAGCCAGCTACATTGGGTGTACAATTAGTCAGGTTCATCATCGTATTTCTGAACATCATCCAACATGGTTAAGCGAGGGACAAACAAGTTCTATTCGTAGCTCTATTGTAGCACACCTTGTAGATAGTGAGCATAAGGTTGACGTAAATACAGCATTTAAAATTATCTATCGCATTCCTACTAACCTTGATTTTGCTCTACGAGTTCGTCTTCTACATACAGCTGAAGCCATAGGAATCCACCTGAAGAAGCCAGCCAAACCTGTGTGTTCAGAAGAAATTTGTACAGCCACTTTCCTTACCTTGGCCATCGTTATATGAATCAACAAACCGGACTACTTCGCCCCACTCCCTCTAAACCTTTGAAAATTATAATTGTCCAAATTATTTTATTTTTTCTAACCACTTCATCTTTAATTTACATGTTATCCTTGTAAAATTTAAATGTGTATTAATTTTCTTTGTGTATTATCAACCCATTGACATTGACTAATTATTGTTAACAAACATATCAGTATCACTTGATTGGTAAACTGTTGTGTATTGTAATAAAAATGCTATACGTGTATATTAGAGTAGAGCCAGAGATGAGGATCTAATCTTTCTGTTTTCTAAATGTTTAAATGGAGATTTTTTCTATAATAGAATTAAGTTTGTAACAAACAGAGGGCTAGGCACATCAAACCAGTTACTAGTGTCGAATTAAAGTAGCCAATACAGTCCTACAGGAGGTTAATCACTAACCCGAATACCTCAGTGGTAACGTCTCTGACTGCAGAACACTCACTGGATGACGCAGGTTCAAATCTCAGAAGGGATATATGAGTTCGAGTTGGTTACAGATACGCCTTGCTGACTGACTAGTGACTGCCAACTAGCACGAAATCTAGGCCAAGAAAGGTTTCCTGTGGCCGATTGCCTCCAACCATCATCTAATATCAACACTAACACTCTGTTACAACCAGTGTCGCAATGCAATCCAGTTATGTACATTAAACTACTGTTATTTATGGAACACCATTTATTACAAATAATAGAAAAAACAAACATATCAACAACTAAATTCACCATCACAGTTAGACACGACGTTTTTTGACTTTTTTCCACCATTTTGATTTGCTTTGTTTTTTTTACCCTACTTCGTTAAATCAGATACAATAGATTGAAGTTCCTGTTTAAAACTAGCAGACGAGAATTTCTCACCAACCCGCTTACAGCCTGCTTCTCCCATACGATCTGCTAGTTGGGGATCATTAATAAACCTGAAAAATAATTCACAAAAAAAATTATATTTTTCCAATAGTCATAGAAAAAAGAAATAAGTATAGAAAGTATTGAAAGACGTAAATTCCATATGCTAATGCATACGCTATACAACATGTACAACACCGCACCCGGTGATTAGCTGTTCTTGTTAAATATATAGTCACTTGGAAGCCTTATACTGACAGTTGTGGTGTACCAAAGTAGAAAACTTTTCCAACACATTTATAGACAGCTGGGAGAATATTACCCTTGATACGTTTAAGCCTATTCCAAAGATAATATGGTGGAGATATGTGGATGACACTATCACACACAGTGTTGCAAACAGAATATATCTCTCTCTAGCTTCTTGACATAAATAAACTCACTAGTAGAGGGAATAAAATACACATTTGAATCAGAAAATGAACAAGGAAAATTAGCTCTAGTATTAGATTCTACAATAAAACGAATAGAAGAAGGTAGACCACCAGTGTTTATAAAACACCAACGAATTCTGCTAATAGTTATTTAAACTTTAACTCATCTCATCCGCTGTCTGTCTGTCTGTGAAGGCTGGCTTAGTTAGGTGTCTAGCAAACCGAGCAGTAGCACTAAGTAGTACAAGAAAAGACTTATATGATGAAATGAAACAGAAAGAATAGATAGTTGGTGTGAAATAACTAACTATCCTATAAAATTCATTAGGAAGTTCAATAAAGGCCAAAATCAAAATAACTGTGAAACTAGTAATAATAACATAAATAAGAGAGAAAATATAAGACATCTACTACTCTACCATATAAGGAGGGGACATGTGAGACCCTCCTCTCCTAGGATTCTCAATTAAGCAGGAATTAGAGTGGCATTTAAACCTACAAACTCACTCACGTAGGAAAAGCTCTGTAGGTTGAAGGACCGTGTCAGTTGACCCAATTAGACAAAATAATATTTACAAAATATCCTGCAATGACTGTGAGTTAGGTCAAACTAGTAGGTCGGGGATAGTCAGATTGCTTGCCAAAACATAAGAATTTAGCTGAGGAAAGAATGGTTGACCCCACACCTGTGAAGATAAGTAATTTAGAAAAAAGCTCAGCAACTGCACTGCATGCATGCATTAACACACAACCACACAATACTATGGTTGGTTGATTTGTTTCAATGCCACCCTATTTCCAGTCTCATTGAGAATCCTACGTAAAGGCTATGACGTACCTTTTTCATACGGTAGTATTACACAGAGACCTTCAATTCAATTTTATTTTCATTATCAATCTTATTGTTTTCTATATGGTTCTTCATAGATTTCTGAATAAATTCCGGTGGGTATTTTGTTATTTCCTAGTAATATTTCCTTTATTTGTTCGATTTCACTACTAAAATCTTCTGGCTTACAACCAATTAGACTCCTGACCTTATTATAGATAGTCATTTAAATAAACCTAATGAATTTATTGTTTTAGCTCGACTCAAGAAACAATAATGCAAGTGTAAACATACTTGGATAAATAGGTGGCCATAATTTCTGGTAACTGGTCTGTTGGCTCTACTGTACACAAATAACCAGAATGTTCATGTAGAATTGTTTCTTTAGGACCACCTGAATTCAATGCAATCACTGCACGAGATAATAACATTGCTTCAATAGGTACAATTCCAAAATGTTCTTTATCCGGTGTATAGATTACTGCATCACTGGATGCAATTAAAAGTGGTTTCATCTCGGATGAACACGAACACATAAAAGTCACACGATCAGAGATCTAAAAAGTAAATTCGTTAGTTAGTTAGTTCCAACGGCCCACCATCAGTTTTCTGAACATGTACCAAAAAAAAGTCAACGTCCCAAGGAAAAATCATTAGTGCAATTGTCAGGCATCTCCTTGATACGGGTCAATGACGTGAAAATCGCAAAATACTTTGAAATTATCAATCGACAAAATAATTCAACTCTTCTCTAGTTTACCGAAGCAATCGTTATCAAACGCCTTAAAAACACGATTTGTGTTCAGAAAGAAGAAGTTATCAGTCGTTTCTTGCCATGGTGACTGGATGTCTTTACTCTCTCTCTCTATCCTTCATTTGTTCACGTAATCCTTGGCTTCAACCTAACCCCTTTGATATAGTGTAATCTTGTTTTTCTCTTGTTTCTATGATTTGAGTTGAACTCAGTACATTGTTACCCGATTTATTAGTTACTCATCATGCATCGATCAAATCGCCACACTACGGATCATCATTGAAAAGAGTTTGGAATGGCAGTCAGCCCTCTATCTCAACTTTATTGACTCTGAAAAGGCCTACGACAGCGTCGATCAACAGGTGATTTGGCAACCACTTTGCCGCCAACAATTAAACACCTCATCCAACAGTTGTATGACAATACTGCATGCCAAGTAATCCACAATGGGAAACTCACGGAATCTGTCGGAGAAGTGAAGACGGGAGTACGACAAGTTCGTTGGATACTATCTCCAATGATTTTCCTGATTGCGGTAAACTGGATAATGTGACAGACAGCGGGCAGCGAAGAAACAGGCATCAAACGGACCCACACAAAAAAACTTGGAGGATCCAGACTTCACCGATGATATCTGTCTGGTTTCCCACAAACCGGAAGATATGCAAGTGAAAAGCAACAAGTTGACAGTGGAAGAAGCATCCATAGAAGATGGGCCTTCAGGTGAACGTAGAGAAAACATAGGTGATGAAGATTCCTTGCCAACAGCAACAACAACAACAATCAGCATAAATGGGAGAAATCTGAAAGAAGCACCCTCCTTCACCTACCGATCTGGGAAGCATCGTTTCAACTACAGGCGGACAGAATTGACGAGGATATCAAAGCAAGACAAGCTTTCATTACTCTCAAGTCTGTGTGGAGGAGATCAACAGCACTCAGTATGAAAAATAACATCCGGATTTTAAACTCCAAAGTGAATTCAGTGCTACTTACTGTATGGATCAGAGACTTGGCGCCACGACACGAAGGACACTTCAACACAAACAAATCTCTACAAAATCCATAATCTAAATCAATCAATCAATCTCCAGCTTACTAGTAGCTATTGAATGGATACCATGTAGTTGTAATGAGTAGATGTGGCCAATGGGATCTATCATTTCTCATTTGAAGTGAACACTCACCGATTTTATTGGATAACAGCAGTCTTGTATGATGAATTAATGAATCATTGATTTTGCAACCAAGTGTTCGAATGCTCAACATCATGGCATCGTAACCTTAAAAGATGCTGAGTGAACATCACTGAAGAGTGTGAAACCAGGATGAAACAGCTGTTCAGCACTCTCTGATCATGCTTTTTATCTCCTCCAATACGAGAGAAATATTTTATGTATCAGTGAAAATGTGACTGAGATCAGCTTCATCACTTAATACGTGTGAATTCCAGAGCTGTATAAACAATCACATACACACAGACACTCACAATGTGACTGGTTGTCTCGTATATAAACAGAAATGTACTTGTTACTGGGTATGATCGCGAGTTGGCATCATTTAGAGAACTATCGGAAAACCTGGGACTATTGGACAGTTATTTCGTCCCGACTTGAACTTCCGCACATTTGTGCAAAGTTCTATGTCGAAAACAGACAGACAGACAGATTTGCTACCCCTCAGCAGTACACTTCTACCACCAGGCCTCGATCCTGTGACTTTCTGGTTACGAGGTGAGCGCTTATAGACCATTCAACCACTGGGACCCGATCCAATGACCAACCCATGAATTCCAACTTCTGACAATTCGTAATAGATATTTAGCGCGACCCCCCCCCAGCCAATGTCAAAGGCGAGTAACTGATCTCTTACCAGACTTGGTGGTGGAACCCACTGGTTACAACTTCTCACTAAGACTCCAGGTAACTACTTCCTGTATAGGAACAAGTCACTAGTAAGCATCAGATTAATTATCAAGTGTTGGTTCGCAGCATGGATATGATTGGTTCCAGGTTTATTTTCGCAACCCAGTGAGTGAGTACTGATGACGAGTCCCAAACAGGGACGAAGCAGTTGACCTTTCAGTACTCAAACATGTAACCAACAAAATCCCTGCAAACGAATACTTGTGACAAATAGCTAAGTTAGGTCGATGGAATTTTAATTAGGATTACTATATATGTAAAAGGTGATCCTTAAAATGAAGATATTCAAAGGATTTTAATGTACACATCGATTTTTGACTAAAAAAATACACACAGTCTATGATGCATTTTAGGTAAGTAATTAACCTAAAAGTTTTATTTTTTTTGTATTCTACATAATAAAACTTTGAACTGCTATTTTAAAATATCGATCTTAGTGTGTCAGACAGAGAGATAGAGACAGAGCTCAATTATTTATCACCTTCAGAGATCACTGTTACCCAGTATCGGCAATTTCTATTACTCTAAGAAGGATAACGATCAAATCTCGAGATTGAACAACAACTGACTTCAGCTAATGAACGACGACTGGAAACCAGCACTGGAGTACTGGACAGCCATTTCGTCCTAATTCGTGACTTTTCATCAGTACATATCCACGGTCCCACCATCCATCGATAGGGATCGAATTTAGGATCTTCAGGCTACAAGGCCAGCTCGTAAATATTCTTAAGCCTATCAATGCCAATTCCTTCCAATTCGTTATATATATATATATATATATATATATATATATATATATATATATATATATATATATATATATATATATATATATATATATATATATATATATATATACAGCGCAACCACCAACCAATGTATATCGGCCAGCGTTTGTCCTCACTTGGTGGACACAGCTGGTCATGTCTTGTCATTACAATAATAATAATAATAACAATCATTTTTGCTTTATTCCAAAAACATTACTAATGATACAGCAAGGAATTTTCAGCATTTAGTACAATATTGCAACTAATTTACTCAAAACGACAAAAGAAATAAACATTATATAATAATAATAATAATAAAACGTTGTTATAGCAGCTATGTAGCAAATTACAGCATGCGATAAGGAGAAAAATATGCATAAAATATAAAGTTGTAGTAATAATAGTAATAACAACAAAAATAAAATCGCTAGGTTATAATTATAAAGAGTGAAACCATAAAATTACAGAAAGATGTACGATGAAAGGGTCGATTCACTGTGCTAATTACATAGTAACTTATAAGTTTCACGTCTAACAGGGTCTTCATAACATAAAATATGGGCTAAATAGGATATTGTAGAATTTTTGTACTTAGTGGTTCGAGCCTATAACTTTTTATTTTTTATTGATTACAGCTTGATTTCACACCGTATTTTTGGTACAAGTATGGAATTTTCAGCGTGGATATCTGTAGCCCAAATTTTGCAGGCCGACCATAGATATCAGGTGTGCGTCGGCGTGGGCTCGAACCCCGGACCATGTGCATAGTCGGCGAGAGTCCTAACCACTGTGACTTCTCGTCCCACCTGATGAGGTACAAGGGGACAGTTGTGAATAAAAGGGGTGCAGAGGGTCTGACAGTATAGCCTTTGCCCATTTTGTACAGGAATTTATATGTCTCTCGACTATAGTATTGGCGAGCTCACGCAGTCGAATACCACAAGCCCTACTCACAGCATTTAATACTCTTCGTAATATGATATAGTCTTTTTTGAGAAGCCCAGGAAAGATTAGTGGAGAGCAATAGAGTACAATAAGTAAAATACAGGAGTTTAAAAATTGCAAAACTAAAGGTTGGTTGATACCTGATTGTCTTAACCTTTTAATGTAGAAGGTAAGACGAAACATTTTTTTAGAGATCGATAGGATGACCATGAAAGGTGAGAGGAAAGAACTAAACAAAACAGAACAAACAAAAACAGGCCGCGTGTGACCGGCCTCAAGCAGTTGTCCCCTGGGCTCTGCGGTCACGCAACCAACTTCCACGGTGTGGGCAGCCGGGAAGTAACAAACGCCCTCACAATCCGAAATGCACACAAAACCTCTCTAATCCTCACTTATCTTTGTCTTCATCTTCATCTCTATTACCTTGCCTTCCTCCTACTGATGCAACTCCTCTACTTGATGGCTCCTCACTCCCTCTTCACTCTGTGTCCACTAAAAACGACGGAAGCCAAAAAACCACCACCGATAGTCTCCTAAAGCCACGCCACCAATTTCATATAGGAGCATTTAATGTTAGGACACTTTGCCAAATAGGACAACAAGCATCACTAGCTAAGACCCTGGCATCCGAGCCATTGATGTATGTTGTGTTTCAGAAACACGCATACAAGACCCAAGTGTGGTTATTCACCTAACCCCACCTGGCCAACAGGATGAATCTTCAAAATTCACCTTGAGGGTGTCAGGAGATGCCACAGCTAGTTCACGAGGATTAGCTGGCGTAGGGATAGCTTTGAGTACTAGGGCAGAAAAGACATTACTTGACTGGATCCCAGTAGATAGCCGAATGTGTGCTGTCCGTCTGAACGGATCAGTAAGAAGGAGAAAGGACTGCACTACTCGCCGATGCCTTTTCGTAATCTCCGCCTACGCCCCCACTGACTGCAGTTCGGATGAAACGAAGGATGAGTTCTACCAAAAGCTGTCTAGTTTGGTGAGAAAGGCTAAACGCTCAGATATAGTCGTTCTAGCTGGTGACTTCAACGCTCAAGTAGGGAAATTGTGTCAATCTGAGAAGGATGTCGGTGGCACCTATGGAGTTCCGTGCCAGCGAACCGACAACGGTGACCGTCTCCTACAGTTCTGTTCAGATAATCATTTGTTTCTTGTAAGCACTAACTTTAAACACAAGGAGAGACACTGTTTAACCTGGCGACCCCCATCATCAAACCAACGCTGGACACAAATAGACCACATAGCAATAAGCTATCGTTGGCGTGGGTCGGTAGGAGATTGTCGCTCCTTCTGGAACACGTGTGTAGATACCGATCACGCACTGGTCCGGGCTCGTGTGTGCTTACGACTGAACGGACGTAGGAAACAGCTGGCGGTAAAACCATCACGTCCCCAGCTCGATCAGGAAACTAAATCCCTATTTGAGGAAGAACTAGCTAAACGCATATCTGAATTCGACAGCTGTGCTCACCCTGGAGAAGCCTGGAAGAATATTCAGTCAGCTATAGATACAGCTGTAAAAGCTGTGAATAAGGCAAATCCAAAGGTGAGTAAAAACCACTGGATTTCGACTGCCTCATCCGAACTGATAGATGCTAGAAGACTTATTCCGGCGAGCTCCGAATTCAATGAGGAGCGAAAGCTGCACAAAAGGAAACTTACTAAAAGTCTCCGCAAGGACCGTGAACAGTGGTGGGTGACAAAGGCAAAAGAGATGGAAAAAGCATCGGCGATAGGCAACACTAGGCAACTCTTTAGACTCATCAGGGAAACGGGTGGGAGAAGGCAAATCATAAGTGAGACTATTTCTGAGAAAAATGGCTCCTTAATTAGCTCTCAGGATAGACGCCTTGAACGCTGGAAAGAACACTTTGAGGACAATTTAACTTGCCTACAGCCACACTGAACCTCCCCGACATCCAAACACACCCGAATGGGATATAGACACTGGTCCGCCGTCTGTAAGTGAGGTCACAAAAGCTATCAGTAATTTGAAACGAGGCAAAGCGGCAGGACCCGACGGAATTATTCCGGAGGTGTTTAAATATGGGGGTGACATACTAGTTTGTAGATTAACTGAGGTACTAGGCAAAGTCTGGGAATCAGAGACAGTGCCATCAGACTGGGGTAAGTCACTTATTATACCGATATTCAAGAAGGGAAACAAGTCCTCGTGTGATAATCATAGGGGGATCAGCCTAACGAACATAGTCTCTAAAATCCTAGGCTCAGTAATCATGCATAGACTAAGCAGAACTCGGGAGGAACAGACAAGGGAAAATCAAGCAGGCTTTAGACCAGGTAGAGGGTGCATAGATCATATCTTCACTCTTCGCTCTTCTTCTGCGTTCGGGTATAAAAGATAAACTGCCTAATTTCGCCTCTTCCATTTGTATCATCTACCAATTTAACTGCTCCTGTGGAGCCAGTTACATAGGTCGCACAATTAGGCGTGTTTCTCGTCGAATTTCCGAACATCACCCTGCGTGGTTAAACAAAGGCCAAACAAAATCCATTCGTAGCGCCATTCTGTCTCATCTTGTGGATACAGAACATAAGATTGATGTTAACCAGGTTTTTAGAGTTATTTACCGGATACTAACAAATCTCAACTTCGCCTTAAGAGTTCGATTACTAAATATTGCTGAGGCTGTTGGGATCAACATTAAGAAGGCTAATTTATGCATCCAAAAGAAGTTAGTTCAGACATCATCATTACCTTGGCCATCCAGGTTTGAATAATCCAGAATTTTTGTGGAATTTCCCTAATTTTAGTTGATATTCTATTCGCTATTATATCTTTATTATTATTATTATTATTATTATTATTATGATTTAAGCATCTTTAATGAACTGTAATTGCATTTATCATACTTTACAAATTGATATTATTTATAAAAAAAAACACTAATATTGTTATTGACTACTAATCTAGAATATTCTGTGTATATAAACATATACATACATGATTGTAGAGCCGGAAGAGGAATTTATCGAAACGAATATTCTTTTCTCGATTATTTTGTGTTTTATAGATGTCTGAATGATTATGATTATGGCTAACTAGGAAAGCTTGTCCATCCTACCAAATCTTGAAACCAATCAAATCCTTACAAACCAACATTTGTGGAAAAGAGCCCAGATTCAATCAAGCATTTAGAAAGATGATGATGACGATGATGATTGTAAACGTGAAATAGAGAATACCATTTGTTCAGTCTTTGCGTTTCAAGTGGAGCATAGGGCTTTCAGCTTTTGAAATTTCAGTAGAATTAGTGTGAATTTTCCTTACTAGATGCGGTTGCCAGTCTCACATGTCCAACTTTCCCTGTTTTCTGACCAACCACGCATGTGGCTTGGGGTTAAATTTACCAGCAGATGCACTCTTAAGCCTCGCTAATCCACTAGTAAGACCAGTAAAGAGAGAAGGTTGGGCATGAGGCTAGCAAACCCACCACGTAGACACATACGAAACACCGACTGCTACCGAAACTTCAAAGCTCTTGCTTGAAGCCCTCGCTGTGTTCCACTAGGAACGTAATAGGAAAAAAATATTAAAAAAATATAAACCTTTCGATTGGGAACCTATGCTTAGAATTTCTGAGTCACATGTAGGTTAGACTACTGCTAAGGGGTTACCGACCATAGCAACATTGGATGATGTATATAACTAGACGTGATTGCATTGATCCATATTATACAATCATGCCTTACCCCCGTTTCTCACTGTAATTACTCATTTCCTTAACTGGTCTGCACTATTCTTCTTCTTTTTTCTCATGACGCCACAACTCTTGATTTTCTCTAAAATATTTTTTCTTTTTGCGTTCCCTCTTTTTATTTATTTCATTCACACACACAACTTGGTGTAGTATGAACACCAACACATCAGATGTAACACGTTTGTGCGGGATCTGAGAACCCCCAGACTGAAGTATGTGGTCGTTTTAAGAGATCTGAAGTCTGATTCACGAGGCAGTTAGCAGAGCAGACTCCAAAGCTGCATTCCCAACGGTCACCGGTGACGTCTTCCAAATTGTTGTGGAGCCACCCTATATGGAATTTCTTGTCCATCAAGTCCAGTGATAAGCATCGGATATTGACATTCATCCTTTCATTTGTCGCCGTACCAAGTAATTCAATTAATTCTAGACCAGCACTGCCACTTTTGAATTTAAACGTCAACTGCACTCTACACTCTAGAGTGCACTTTGTACACATAAAATGCTTTCATATAGTTTTATCATAATGTTGAGAGTTTCATTTTCTCATTTATTTGGTCTATCTTTACTCCTCTATTACTTTATTATTACAGCTGTCTGTTTGATTCTGATTTCTTTTCGGTGATTTCATATTCGAAATCAGCCGTACAATCGCATTTATATATATAAGTTTACATAGATACAATTATTATTTATTTAATTCCACAACAGCAACTCTAAAAGTGATATTCTCTAGCCGCCCACTACTTCGGAGCAACGTGAAGAAGAGACCTCTGCATATGACCGCCTCAATGTGCATATATCAGTTCACTTGTTCATGCGCAGCTAGGCACATACGCCGCTCTATGCGGGTCTTATCAAAACGTGTTAGAAACCATTGCCCAACATGGCTGCAAAGTGGAGGCGCACTGGCTCAACCTACAAGCGCCATAATTGGACATCTTGTCAGCACATCTGGTCACAGCATCTCATCTGACTATTCATCATTTAGAGTCATTTACAAAGTAAACAAAAAACTACCACCAAAGGCAGTGTGTTTACGGTTTTATTGTCCTGTAGAAGACTTTGCTATATATGCATCGAAATCCCAGAGCTATGTGTTCAAAAGAAATTAGTCCAACCTATACATTTATCATGGATCTGATTCAGTCTGATACCCACACCCCCATTTTATTTCCGTTTTTCTCATTCCCTTGATATTTTTTCCATGCTCATCTGATTCCCAACCATATTCGTTAAAAAAAAATCTGTTTTCTAATCGTGCGTAATTTTGTTTGTGATCTCATTGTAATCTACGTTCACTCACATCTTTGAACTTTTGTATCAAGTTGAAAATTATTATCATCATTGATCTCCTCCTTCGTCATTATGATGGGGAATTAAATAAGTAATACTTGCTTGTATCTGATGTAAAGTCATACATAGAAATGCGATTGTACAGCGCTGCTTTTGAGAATGAAATCCTCCCCCCCCCCAAAAAAAAACACGTTTCTTTGCTGCTGAACTTCTTGTTCTTTTCTCCCTAATATCCTGATGAGTATTTTCCATGATTTGATTTTAATTTTATCTTTGCTTTTGGGAAAGCAGTCTTGAAACGTATGATGTTAAGTTAAACTTTTATTATTATTATTATTATTATATATTACATTGGGTTCCAAATGGAACATACGGCTTCAACACCACATGTCTACTTCTTTATTCTATTTTCTGGTGTCCCCTTCATCTGGGTCCACCGATTGGCCATAAGCTCTCTCATCTCTTTCTCCTTCATGTCACCCTCTAACGATCTACTCATTGATTCTCACTCGAGTGATAGCCTGGCGTGAGATGTCATCTGATGGTCTCCTCAGCGTGTGTCCAATCTATCTCCATTTTCTCCTGAATATTCCTTGTACGATAGGCTCTTGGTTATTTTATTCCCATAGTTTCTTGTTGTTAATTTCCCTGGCCTGACATCTAATCTTTGGTATATAGCCAGCAAAGGTAGTTACTGATAAAAGTCTATAGCAGCCTGTTTGAAATGCTTTTCGTGACACGCTGGCCAGGTTTCCGACCTATATAGGAGGACTGATTGACTAATCTAACGTTGATGTTGAAAATCCAAAACTTGTTCTTTATGCTGAGGCGGAGTGCAGAAGATTTCCAGACTGTAATAAAGGTTTGACTTGCCTTTCCTATTCTCTGGTTTCAACATCCAAATGTAAACCGCCTGTAGTTGGAAAAAAAATGCTGACTGGATAAGTAAAGGAATTGACCTCTTTCAAATTTATTCTTTTGATAGTGATTGATGCTGCTTATTGCTGCTAGTTACCTTCATCACCTCCGTCTTCTCTATGTTCACTTGAAATCCTGTGTATTATTTGGCTGTTTCTTCTGCCAACTTGTTGGTTTTCGATTGTGTAGGTCTTCGAGTTCGTGCACCTTTAAACGTAAATCATCCACGTAATCCGTATTTTCTAGTTTTCTTATTGGTCCATAGTATTCCTGTCTCTAGTCTGACGCATAATCCAGTCCACCACAATTAAGAATATCATCGGTATTAATATAAGCAGGCGGCCTTGTCTTGCTGCTACCTTCAATTCAAAGGCTTTAGTGCATTCTCTGTTGTGAATCACTAAACACCTGGCATTATCAATATAGCTGTCGAATGAGGTTATAATGTGACAACCGAAGACAAGGGCCAGGCAACAGATCATTTATTAAGGAAATCAACACATATTTATAGATTTCCATGTACATATTATAGATTATTGTTAGCAGAAAAACACATTCTTCTGATTGGTTGTTTCTCACCGAAAGATGACCTTGCATGTCTTTGTGGCTGTTTCTTGAATGTCAGATCATCTATATATTAACTGTATCCGCCTACGCAAAGCCTTTGTTCTCATTTTTCTCACAACCAATATTAGGGACATACACATTGACGTAAATTACTGTCCACCAATTTTGAAAAACAGCCAGCTCTCATCACAATACTATGCACATTTCTAAACCAGAGAAAGGAATCGTTTCTCTGATACAATTTAGGCAGTATATGGGTTGGAAATGAAATATTCAGAAAAATTCCATTGGGTGCCCACAAACACAAATACACGCACATACACATACAGACACACTGAGAGAGAGAGAGATACACTTACCTTTAGTGTTTCTGCTAAGTTGACCAGTTCTTTGTAGTGTTCTACATTTTCAACTACACGATAATCATAACCACCAGCTATGATTAAGTGAATATTTTCTCGTTTCAATTCTACTGATGGATCTACCAATTGATCCCAATGTGTGAAAAGGTATTCTTTGAAGAAAATAAAAACTTAAGCATAACAACATATCAAAATAACAAAATTAATTGTGAATAAATTTTAACTAATTCACTATACTTCTGTGATAAATGCATCATTGGTTCAACGGTAGGAATGTTCACTAGCCCGCCAGCCAGCCATGTGAGACAGCCGGGCTGGATTCCTGACCAACGCATTCTCGCAAACCTCACCTACTTTACTAACCTGTAGTAGGCCTGGAAAAAAGAGGGAAGGTTGAGCATGAATTCAGGGGAGACCTAGCAGCATGTATCTTTAAAAGGAGAATCCCTGAAGAAGACTTTCCCTATAGCAACTCTAAGAGTGATATTCTCTAGCCGCCCAATATTTCGGAGCAACGTGAAAGACAGACTTCCGCATATAACCGCCTCAATGTGTATATATCAGTTCACTTGCTCATGAGGAGCTAGGTACATAGGTCGTTCTATGCAAGTCTTATCAAAACGTGTTAGAGAACATCATACAGCATGGCGGCAAAGAGGAGGCAGTGGTTCAATCAGAAGCGCCATAACTGAACACCTCATCAAAATCTGTGACATCTCCACTGACTATTCATCATTCAGAATCATTTACAAAGTAAACAAAAATCTGCCAAAGATAGTGTGTTTCAGACTTTTTGTATTGCAGCAGCTATATGCATCGAAATGCCAGAGGTGTGTGTTCAAAAGAAACTAGTCCAACCTTTACAACTACCATACAATTAGTTCGGTATGTTCCCTTAGTCTTCGGTTTTCTGTTTTCTTCGTTGTATGTGCATTTCTCTCTCTTTGTCTTTATTCAATTCATCCCATTTTTTCAGTTATAAGAACAGTTATTTAAAGTTTGTATCCATGCTTCTCCTGGTCAAACTTGAAATTCGTTTAGAATAACTATTTTACAATTATATTCTAATCCTGTGTAATTTTTGTTTGTAAGCCTCTTGTAATCTATATTCACATTTCCTAACTTCCAGTTTAAGTTGGAAATTATTAATATTCCAATTTGTTTCCATGCTCATTTTGTTCACACATGTAATTCGTTCTATTCCAGTGGAATTTTTGTTTCGAAGCCTCTTGTAATCCATATCATCGAGTTGAAAATAATTGTCCCCTTTCATTAGCCTTCGTAAATATGTGAAATTAAATAATAATTATATATATAGAAAATCAAAACAAGTGATTCAGCGAAGACACCCTGTTCAACGAATTTATTATTAAGCTGTACAACCATATATATATATATATATATATATATATATATATATTATGGTTGTGAAACCTGGCCACTGAGAGTGGAAGACATGAAAAGATTGTCGAGCTGTCTTTGATCATAGGTGCCTGAGTTCTATTTCCCGTGTAAAGTGGCATAATAAGGTGAGCAACATGGAGGTTAGGCGTCGAGTTCTAGGTAAACAGGGGAAATCAATCGACGAAGTCGTGAAGCTACATCGACTGAGATGGTTAGGACATGTGTTACGTATGCCAAGTCATCGCCTCCCTCGACGAGCTATGTTAGCGGATATAGGGTCAGGCTGGAAAAAAGCTAGCGGCGGTCAAACAAAAACTTGGCATCAGTCAATGAAATCCACAACAGTTGGTCTTAGCCACGTAGGAAGGTGTAGACTTCCAGGCTGGGGTCCTCGGGACGGTAAAAATCTATGGTTGGAAACAATTGGTGACATGGCTCAAAATCCTTTTCAGTGGCGCAGATGCATCCACTCCTTGTGACATATGATCTCCACCAATGAAACTGTTTTGTTATTCTTTATTACTCCTTTGTCTCACACCTCTGCTCACTGTTTCTATTATGCTTTTCTTGTACTTTCTTCTCTTGCTTCGCGTGCTACACGGAATGTGGCGACTTGAACTTCCGCACATTTGTGCAAAGTTCTATGTCGAAAACAGACAGACAGACATATATATATACGGTTGTATTTAAATGCAACTGTACAGCTTTTGAAAATGAAGTCACCGAAAAGATATCTTTGCTGAACTTCTTGTTTTTTCCCCCTAATGTCCCGATGAGTACTGTCCAAAATTTGAAAAAATCCAATTTATATACAATATGTGTTTTTTATGAAAGACGGATAGTAACAAAGGTAACAAACCTTTTTTTAAAATCCTTTACATTCTCAGTGGAACATACGGCTACTTCACGCTGGAGGCTTGAAGTTTCAGTAGTAGTGGTGTTTATTTATTATGGGATGGGCCAGCTAACCTTACTAGTGTAATTACTGGCTTGCGGAGGTAAAAGAGCCCGCCGGCAGGGTATCGAACCCTGGACCACTTGCGTGATTGGCTAGCAATCTTCCGATATGCCACCGACGCACATCACAGACATAGTCGTTAATATTAGTTGTCAATGCATAATAGGTGTTGAATAAGTTTGTAACGACAGAAGACAAGGGCCAGGCAACAGATCGTTTATTGAGAAAATCAGGAGATATTTTTTGATTTTTTATGTATATTATTATGTGTTATTGTTAGCAGAGGAGCAATGTCCTCTGATTGGTTGTTCTCCTGTTGAAGGTTATTTTGTCATCTCTTTGTTAGCGTTTCTTAGACAGTCCGGTGACATATCTGCGAATCGCATCCCCCACGCTTAGTCTGCTGTGATTGGTTGTTGAGTTCCTCAAAGTTAGGCTTTGTTCTTGTTTTCTCTCCTGACCAAGATTTGGGACGTAAACATTGACGTAAATTGTTGCCTACAATTTTGACTAGCAGACAGCTCTCACCACAAGTGTATTAGAGTTATGTATTAAGATGAATAATTTAATAAAAATGAGTAGTAATCAGAATGTGCAAAGAAACGAAGGAAAATTGGTACCAATTAGTCGAAAAAAACGAAGCCACTAATTATTATCTCTTGCTACTCGTGTCCGATGTATACGCAGCCCTGATACTCTGGAAGAAGAATTACACTATTAGCAAGGAATCTTCATGCAAAATGAATATCTATCAAGATTGACTGACAAGAACACCAAGCCGACAAATTCAAAGACAAGACACGTCATCCGAACCTCAAATTTAAAGGTGACCTATTCGGTGATATCCTTAAGAGGAGAATTTCAGTTTATTTTAGAAGTATTTTCTTTGCAGCAATGTTAAGAGTAGTGTTTTTCGGTCGTCCACTGGTCTACAGAACTCTGAAGGACAAGATCTCGCATCTGACCCGTTCTGCGTGTGTTCACCTGTTGCTGTACAGCCAGCCAGGCACACTGGTCGTCTCAGGTGTATCCCGTCTAAAAAGCCTCAAGAACACTATCCCACACACCTGGCTGCAGAAAAATAGTAGTAGTGGCTCTCTATGAGGAGTGCGACCATTGAACATCTTGTCAAGAGTCAGTCTGGAAATCTTCTGCAATCTGCATAAATACCAAGATTTAGATTTTCAACATAAATGTTGAGTCAAATCTTCTGCTTGAGTAAAAAACTTACCACTTCACGAAATACTTTTATAACAGGCTACTTCAGATTTGTATCAACAACTGCCGCCTACTCTGGGTCCATACTGAAAAACTACTGGTGTGCATCAAGGATGCCCATTATCCGCATTCCTATTCAACTTCATCATAGATGTACTAATGGACTTAACCCTAAGTGACTTCAGCGACTGAGGGATTGACTTGCTACCAGGGAATAATCTCGCCGACTTAGAATATACAGACGATATAGTCCTTCTAGGCGAGGACGCCGAAAAAATGCAGAGTCTTCTAAACACCTTGAGCTGCAATCTACGAATGTTTGGCATGCAACTCGCTCCCGCCAAATGCAAAATGACGTTACAGGACTGAACTACACTGTCTTCTACGTTGGAAATAGGAAGTGAAGTGGTAGAACACGTTGACTGCTTCTCTTATTTGGGTTGATCTCTGACGAAATCTCAGCACGGATACAGAGGGCTAGTTTCGCATATGTCAGTTTACGCCGTCTCTGGCGTGGACGTGATATTCGTCTATCGACCAAAGGGCGGGTGTACTGCTCATCAGTCCGCTCCGTCCTCCTCTATGGCTGTGAGACCTGGCCACTGAGAGAGGAAGACATGAAGAGATTGTCGAGCTGTCTTTGATCATAGGTGCCTGCGTTCTATCTCCCGTGTGAAGTGGTATAATAATAAGGTGAGCAATATTGAGGTTAGGCGTCGAGTTCTAGGTAGGCAGCGGAAATCAATCGACGAGGTTGTGAAGTTACAAAGACTGAGATGGTTAGGACATGTGTTACGTATGCCTAGTCATCACCTTTCTCGACGGGCAATGTTAGCGCATATAGGCTCAGGATGGAAAAGAGCTAGCGGAGGTCAAACAAAATATGGTACCAGTCAATGAAATCTACAACAGTTACTTTAAGCCACGTAGGTAGGTGTAGACTTCCTGATTGGCTGGGGTCCTCGGAACGGTAAAAACCAATGGTTTGAAACGATTGGTGATATGGCTAAGAAAATGGTTCTCAATGGCTGGTGCAGATGCATTCACTCCCTGTGACTTATGATTTCTAATGAAACTATATTGTTCTTCGTTATTACTATTCCTTTGTCTCACACCTCTGTTTACTGTCTCTATTATGCTTTTCTTTTACTTTCTTCTCTTGCTCTGTGTGCTACAAAGAGGGAGTGTGGTGAATTGAACTTCCGCACATATGTGCAAAGTTCTATGTCGAAAACAGACGGCCAGACAGACACGTAAGATCACCTAGCTTGGACCACAGAATGATATCCGACCAAAAGCTACTAATTTTCGAATAGTCAGATCGGGGCGTAAATGGCACCGAGACAGTCAGATTTCCAGCTTACTTAACAAATTTGATTTCTTCCAAATGAGGCAAGTCGTGTAAGAAGAAATAAAAATAGGCTAGAAAACAGTACCTTGAGGCACATCGGCTTCAGTAAAGTTCTATTTCGGAAACAGACAGACAGACCATACTGAAAACCAGATGACCGACCAGACAGAACCAACAACAAGAAAGTATGGAAACAAGCTAACCTAGAACCTATCGCTCAACGAATATACAGGATAAAATGGAGATAGGTTAGAAACACGCTGAGGAGACCGTCGCAAGACACCACCCAAGTAGAACCTGAATGGGAAACGACGAGTAGGTCGTCCGAGAGTGACATGGAGGGAATCGTGTGAGTTGAAGGAGATGAGAGCTTATAGGCAATCTTAGAGATAGATAAAGGAGACGGCAGAAGAAAATGGAACAGAGTGGAGACGTACTGTTGAGGCCCTATGCACCCTTTGGAACGGAAGAAAATAATAATAATAATGGTAAAATCATAAACTTACCAAGACTGTACAGGGCCAATGAAAGATTTTTCTTCCGTTCATATCTGTTGATTGACAAGAAGACTACTTTTGCCTTTTCAGGTATAATTTCTGCTTCTCCTGCTGCTGTCGGCAACATTTTACGGTATTCATACTTGGCAGTTAATTTGTCTTTAGATTTTGCTATCACAGGTAGGCGTAAACTTTTAGCATTTGCAATAGGATATAAGATACGTGGATGTACATGGTCAAGTGAGGTGAAGGTTTCTTTGAAAACGCTGGCTGTAACATAAAGAAAAAAATATAACAAGATGAATACAAGAAAATATGGCAACAGTAAAGAATAGACACTACAGTCAAGTGACCTTGGGCCAACCAATCAGATAGTTCACTATTGCAAATGGCTATTCAAGTGCTGGTTAGCAGGGATTTCATTGGTTACAGAATTTCATGATGCGCTGACATCCGCTAGAGAACCATTGGAAAACTTGGGATTACTGCCAGAGTGCTGTTTCGTTCCACTAGTTTTGTGGTGAGAGCCGGCTGCAAGCCAAAATTGTAGACAATTTGCGTCAATGTTAAGTCCCGAATCGGGGTCATGAGAAAAACAATAACAAAGCTAAACCATGAGGGACTCACCAACCAATCACAGCAGACTTAAAGTGTGCAAATAGGATTCACAGATACATGGCTTAACTTTCTGAGAAACGGTCACAAGCAGTACAGAATAGCCTTCGGCAAGAAAAGGAAACCAGTCAGAAGACGTTGCCTCTCCACTGACAACAATGTATATAAAAATCTATAAATATCTCTTGATTTTCTCAATAAACGATCTGTTGCCTGGTTCTTCTCTTCTTTCTTTACAGTTTTAGGCTCTTCACCAGTACGCACCCACCAGCAAGGTTCGAACCCACGACCTTCCGGTTACCAGTCAAAGCAGCTCGTACACTATAAAGTCATTACGACCCGATCCAATGGCCAGTCCATGAATTCCAACATCTACCAATTCACAACATAGTGTGACGAGTTTTACTGATCCATCTCCATTTTGCTTTCACATATTTGCTGACAAATAGGTTTTCGATTAGTTCGTCTCCAGAGTTTCCTATTCCTAATTCTTTCCGGCTGTCTATCTGATCTTCAGTATGGAGCCAGCGAAGACGGTTGTTGATAGAAGTCTCCAGCTGGCTGTTAGAAATGCTTTTGATGACACACTGGTCAAGTTTTTGACCCATATAGAAGTGACTGATTCACTGAACATCGATTGTTGTTGGAAATCCGAATTTTGATGTTTATGCTGAAGCGGAGTGCAGAAGACTTCGAAACTGACTTCTCATTGATGAAGGTGTACCTTTTCTTTCTGATTCTGGCTGTCGCCTGTAGTTGAAACGATACTTCCTAGATAAATGATGGAGATAAACTCTCTCTCTCCCTTTCTGAAATTTCTACTGCTGATAGTGATTGGTGCTGATTCATAAGAGAGTAATTCCCATTAAAAATGAATCTAATTAATATACACCCTCTATCGCTATTTTAATTCGCCCACCTCGTAAGAGACAAAATGATGAAATCAAAAGTTTAAAAAAAACAAGACAAAACTGCGTAATTGATTAAAATATTTTTAAAAATGACTTACAAGTAAACTTGCTGTTAACTAGAATTACATCAGCCATTCCAGTTGATACTTGTTCAATATAATCAATAGGCATCCTATAAAGCTTCTTCAAAAATGAACCCTTCTTTGTTAATAACATATCTGGGAAATGACAATAAAATATTGTTCGATATCCAAAAGCACGTAATAGTATAACAGGTGCTGATATTTGATCTACAAATGTGATATCTGCTTTCTTTTCATAGAATAATATTAAATAGATTGTTGCGATCAGTATACGAATATAAGCGCATAATGCCATCATATAACCAAATATAGATCGGGGGAACCAATCCCCAACAACTGTTATATTTAGACTGGATCGTTGAGTTTCCTCGAAACAATGATTCGGATCATGATGATTAGTTATAATAGTAATATCATAACCACATGATTCCAGAGCAACTGCTGAGTCTACGATGAGTCGTTCTGCACCACCTATACCAAGATCTGGATGTAAAAAGACAATATGCTTTGACATTTTTTAAAGAAAATATTTAGAGGTATTGTTGATGATCGAAAGATATGTATTTTCAAAGTGAAATCTAAAAAAGAAAACAAAGAGCAAACGTTAGACAACTACAACTTTTATGTGTTGATGAACACTTTGTCAGTCAGATTGTAGTGAAGTGTATTACAATCTGGTACTTTAGAACTCATATAAAATATTGATCTTCTTTATCTGGTTCTACTCTTAAGATTCTTTTTCAGGGATATTAAATATACGAAATTCCGAGGTTTAATCTCGAATACAGTAAAAAAAACTCTCATATTAAACTTTTGTACGCACACATAAACATAATAGGTGAACAGAAACAACTGCGTTCCTCTTGCCTCTATTGATTACTTGCACCCCTATTTATCGAACAGAATGCAATATACTGTGAGTAAAGGCAAGTCTTCCTTTACCTAGTTTACTGAAGCCGTTGCCCCTTAAGGTGCGATTTTCTCTCTATTTTTTCTTCCTTTTTATACGACTTACCTTTTTCAGATGAAATCAATTTTGTCAAATAACTGAAAATCTGACTGTCTCGTCTCCAGTTACGTCCTGATTTGACTGTTCGAAAATTAATAGCTTTTTGTCGGATATCAGACTGTGGTCCAAGTTAGGTTATCTTACGTTTAATCCCTCAAAGTGTCAGACAGTTGACTTTACCTCCAGGCATAAACCTGATCTACATGGACTGGTTTGTCCACATGAAACTTGTAGTATAGAGAGCACTGAGAATGAAACTAAGTCAAACATAAAATGCCTTGGAATAGTCCTATCATTTCACCTTTCTTGGTCGATCATCCCATATCTTGTCGAAGTCTAGGAAAAGCTCCCGTCTAACCTTCTACATTAAGAAATTAAGACAATCTGGGTAGGTATCACTCAACCTCTATTTTTAAAATTTGATAACTCTTGCCTCTTACCTATTTTTCTTTACTGTTCCCCTCACCTTAGTATTTCCTGGGCTACCATTCAGAAAGGGTTATATCATATTTTGAAGAGTTTTAGGGGTTGTTAGTGGGGTAAATGGTGGGCCACCACTAAGTCAGCTTGTTACTATATTCTAGTCGACAAACACCTGTACTCATGTGAGAAATAGTCTAAATCCATATTTCCTACTTAGTTACAACTCTCCACGTATTGCGTCTCATCAGGTAGGACTAGAATAAGTCATTATAAAAGATTATATGCTAGCTTGCACAACCAAGTAAAAGAAGTCAACGATTCTCTCCGTTTGGACCTTCTTCGTCCCATGTGATAAAGATAGACTATTAAGCGCGAAACTTACAACTTATTATGCAATTAGGGAAATGATTGGCTCTCTTCTCCTATTTGTAATCTATGGTGACACTATTCCACTGAACTTGTAATTTTAGCTATAAACATTATTATCACTATTTTACACTCATTGCTCGTGTTGTCACTGCTAATAACAAAAGGCTTCCAATATCAGTTTCGGTTCCCTATACCCTTCAATATTATTTATTGTTTTGTATTTGTTGGTGTTGAGTAAATTAAATACAATATTGTATCAAAAACTGGAAATTCCACTCTGTACTATTTTGGAATAAACCAAATTATTATTACTAATATTATTATAAGGTCACAAAATTCCGGTTGACAAGAAATGTAAGTATTTTGGACAAGTATTTAGGCTGTAGAGAACTGTTACGGAATGGCATATTTAAGGAGGTAAGAAGAGACAAATTCACACTAAGTCTTCAAAATTTGTAGAAAAGGAAACCAGTGAGTGATAAGGCGATTATTTTCGAGCCAATTCTAGTCATCTTCATACAAGACTAATTTAAGTGCTCCATTAAAAAGGTGTTATGTTCTAGTTTCCCCGTCGCCAAATTGTTATGTACTCGTCGCTAAATTATTGTTATGGACTGGTCGAGAAACTAATAGTCCTGACGCGAGAAGGCGGAAATCAGAAGACCACTAGGTTTGCGATGATACTTCTATTGTCCAAACACAAGGAGACGAAAATAAATGGTCTCACACCAAAGTGGTAAGTAAGTAAAGTAGTTGTAAAGTAAAGTCACAACATTGTGAATGCGAAATATATATGAATGTTCCAGACAAAGCGTGGGAAAAATCATTAGACAGTCTTAACATGAATGGCTAATTATAATGGAGTGTCGATCCAAATATACATAGCGAATATAGCAGACATGTCAAACAACCATATATGGATATATGTCACTAAGCAACGGACTGTCAACAAACACTCATATTATATATAATATAATATAAGGAGAATACACATTAATAAAGGAGACAAGTTCACACAAGTGAAATGGTCACAGACTAAGCGAGCAAACAGAAAGAGAGACCAACATACACACACACATAAATATATATATGTGGATACATATCAAAAGGTAACGGAACTTAAAGATTGATTATAAATTTTGGAAAGTAATACAACAACTGTTAAACTTTTTTCAGTAAATACTGAGTATTTGGAAATGGTAAGGGATTTTTAGCCAATTTATTGCCTTATGTACACTCTGTAGATTTCATGCCCACTTGAATCATTCAGAAAACCTTTCTTAAGACTTCTGTGATGTTTTCTCATCTGATTGTAACACCTAGGGGTGTACTGAGGTCACTGTCGTTACCTCTGTCTCTGTCTCTGTCTGTTTTCGACATAGAACTTTGCACAAATGTGCGGAAGTTCAAGTCGCCACATTCCGTGTAGCACGCGAAGCAAGAGAAGAAAGTACAAGAAAAGCATAATAGAAACAGTGAGCAGAGGTGTGAGACAAAGGAGTAATAAAGAAATACAAAACAGTTTCATTGAAGATCATAAGTCACAGGGAGTGGATGCATCTGCGCCACTGAGAACGATTTTGAGCCATGTCACCAATTGTTTCCAACCATAGATTTTTACCGTCCCGAGGACCCCAGCCTGGAAGTCTACACCTTCCTACGTGGCTTAGACCAACTGTTGTGGATTTCATTGACTGATGCCAAGTTTTTGTTTGACCGCCGCTAGCTTTTTTCCAGCCTGACCCTATATCCGCTAACATTGCTCGTCGAGGGAGGCGATGACTTGGCATACGTAACACATGTCCTAACCATCTCAGTCTTTGTAGCTTCACGACTTCGTCGATTGATTTCCCCTGTTTACCTAGAACTCTACGCCTAACCTCCATGTTGCTCACCTTATTATGCCACTTTACACGGGAAATAGAACGCAGGCACCTATGATCAAAGACAGCTAGTCTTTTCATGTCTTCCACTCTCAGTGGCCAGGTCTCACAACCATAAAGGAGGACGGAGCGGACTGATGAGCAGTACACCCGCCCTTTGGTCGATAGTCGAACATCTCGTCTACGCCAGAGTCGGCGTAAACTAACAAATGCGAAACGAGCCCCTTGTATTCGTGCTGAGATTTCGTCAGAGATCAACCCGTTGGGGCTGATGGTACTTCCCAAATAAGTGAAGCGGTCAACGTGCTCTACCACTTCACTTCCTATTTTTAAACTAGGCGTCGATGTAGTCCAGTCCTGTAACATCATCTTGCATTTGGCGGGAGCGAATCGCATGCCAAACATTCGTAGATTGCTGCTCAAGGTGTTTAGAAGACTCTGCATTTCGTCAGCGTCTTCGCCTAGAAGGACTATATCGTCTGCATATTCCAAGTCAACGAGATTATTCCCCGGTAGCAAGTCAATCCCTGAATCGCTGAAGTCACCTAGGGTTAAGTCCATTAACACATCTATGATGAAGTTGAATAGAAAAGGAGATAATGGGCATCCTTGACGGACACCACTGGTCGTCATCAGTTCAGATGACAGCTCGCCGTAAGCCCTCACCTGGCTGTATGAGTACGAGTAGAGTGCCTTAATCAGTGCAATATATTTTCTCGGAATTCCCTTTACAGCCAAGCATCTCCAGAGAACTTCCCGATCGACAGAGTCGAATGCTGCCTTTAGGTCAAGAAATATAATGACTGTTGGACGCCGGTAGGAATGCCTATGTTCTAGAATCTGTCGGAGGGTGAAGATATGATCAATACACCCTCTTCCTGGTCTAAAGCCTGCCTGGCTCTCTCGTGTTTGTGCTTCCCGAGCACCACTCAGTCTACGCATGATTATTGAGCCTAAGACTTTAGATACTATATTAGTCAAGCTAATCCCTCTGTGATTATCACAGGAAGACTTGTCTCCCTTCTTGTATATGGGGATAATCAGTGACTTACACCAACCCGATGGGACTTCTTCTGATTCCCAGACGCTGCCTAGTACCTCAGTTAATCCGGACAGTAAGCTGTCTCCACCGTACTTAAATACCTCTGGAGTCATTCCATCAGGTCCCGCTGCTTTGCCTAGTTTCAGATTGGTGACAGCTTTAGTAACCTCAGTTAGTGACGGAGGACCTGTGTTTATATCCCATTCAGGGAGGTGTTGGATGCTCGGAAGGTTGAGCGTGGCTGTGGGCAAATTAAACTGCTCCTCATAATGCTCTTTCCAACGATCCAGTCGTCTATCCTGGGAGCTAATTATAGTGCCATTTTTTTCCGAGATTGTCTCACTAATGATTTGTCTTCTCCCACCCGTTTCCCTGATGAGTCCAAAGAGTTGCCTGGTGTTGCCTATCCTCGAAGCTTTCTCCATCTCTTTGGCTTTTGTCGCCCACCACTGTTCACGGTCCTTGCGGAGACTTTTCGTAAGTTTCCTCTTGTGCAGCTTTCGCTCCTCATTGAATTCGGAGCTCGCCGGAATAAGTCTTCTAGCATCTATCAGTTCGGATGAGGCGGTGGAGATCCAGTGGTTTTTACTCACCTTTGGGTTTACCTTATTCACAGCTTTTACAGCTGTATCTATGGCTGCCTGGATATTTTTCCAAGCTTCTTCAGGGTGAGCACAGCTGTCGAACACAGATATGTGTTTAGCTAGTTCTTCCTGAAATACGGATTTAGTTTCCTGATCGAGCTGGGGACGTGATGGTTTTACCGCCAGCTGTTTCCTACGTCCGTT